ACTGTTCTCTCAGAACAGCCAGGAGAATCCAGACAGCAGGGATCCATGGGTCAGTGCTGGTGGTCGTGTGGGACCTTGATTCTGAGCTCCAACAAGAGGAACTGAGCAGGAATGGATGCACGTCTTCACCTGCAGCAGATCACTGCCGTAGGTAGGCCAGTGAGTAGCATGGGTGAATCCTCGTGTCCATATTGGTGTCTGGTCTATTTTAAGTGTACTGCTAATGGTTATGGAGGACCTGCAGAAACCCTCTGCCACCCACCTGGGAGCTCTGAGGCAGCTGCCTGGTGGTGGTGACCCACTGCTATTTGTCCCATGTGGGACAAACATAAAAGCAATGGAAAATACCCAATTTTCAGCTTAACTTGTGACATGAGAGTGAAGGATGGTTTTGTTTTTTGACTTTGTTTTGTTTTGTCTTTCTCCTCCTTTCCTCTTCCCATGAAGTCAGATTTTAATGTAGAAATTGAGGTATTAAAGAGATAGCCTTCCATAATCCAAAGTATTTTTTCCATTTGTTAGAATAACCCCCCAGTTTCGGATGGGCCCCCCATTCTGAGGTGGGTGAGGATTTGGAATAACCCATCACGGCCACTTATGGAATTTCTTGTGGCTGTAAGCAGCTGGTCACGATGTCAGGTCCTTTCTTGGCTGTTATCAAATAGTTTTCTTCCCATTTGTGTTCTTTAGAATGGTTGGATGACAGCAAAACGGGACCTGCTCTAGCATCTGGAGACCATAATCTGTGTGGAAGTCCTAAAAGGTGCAGAGTCTGGAAAATTTCTTCTTGTGAACAGTGATAATGCATTGGCACAGGCTGCGCGGGGAGTGGTGGAGTCACCATCTCTGCAGGAGTTCAAGAACTGTGGAGATGAGGCACTGAGGGATGTGGTCAGTGGGGATGAGTTGGGCTTTGGGATCCCAGAGGTCTTTTCCAACCTTAAACATTCTGTGATGCGACTTGTGCACGAACGCTGGGATCCTTGCCTAAGTTGCATGTGAATTAATGCCTCAGTGAATTATTTCTGTGATGTGCAGTCATAGAATCAGAGTGGTTGGGTTGGAAGGGACTTTACAGCCCCCCCAGCCCCAACCCCTGCTCTGGTTGCCCTCCACCAGCTCAGGCTGCCCAGGGTCTCATCCAACCTGACCTTGAGCACCTCCAGGAATGGGGCACCCAAAGGTGTTGGTTGACCATTCACTGATCATTGGAGGCACGTGAAGATGCCTCTTTTCATTGGCTTTCCAACATCTTGGAAATGGAGCTAAAATGAAAACACGTTTGTTTTCGGTTTTTGCAATTGACTTCGACATCCCGAAGACCTGAAGGAGCTCCGATGGCCTCCATGTTAGGGTGGGCCTCATTTTTGTGGTGTCTCACTTCATTTCTGCACAATCAGTCAGTTTTCAACCCTTGGGCTGCATGGTGCAGGTTTCCAGGGTCAGGTTTTGTACTCAAGGGGTTTGTTGCAGAGATGAAAGAACCCCTTGCAGAGAGGTAAGCTCACTCCAGAGAGCCCCGTGCTTCATATTTGCTTTCTAGTGCTGTTACTAAAGGTTATATTTATTGGCTGTGAGGCTGAAGCTACTGATGTCAGTGTAGCCCAGTGAGCGGGGAATGAGGATAATTACCAGGAAACTATTATGTGGCCTTGAGCAAAATTGCTCGCCGGTCTTGGCTGCTTGCGCTGCTAATCTCACAAGGAGACCTCATTCCTCACCGTGTCTGAAAGGGGGAAATTGCAGATTAAGTGTTTTCCCGTGTGGATCTGGGCACTGTGTGTCAGAGGGAGCGCTGGAGCTGCACGTGGCTCAGTCTGTCTCTCCCCCTCCTCCTGCTCTGCTTCCCCCTGTGCTGTTTTCCAGGTGTGATGAAGATGCCTTCGGCCTCACCTTGCTCCGTCCGTGGCGGTGTGATGGTCAGTGTGGAATTCTATGTGGGGCAATGAGGAGGTGATGGGTTGGGGTCCTGGGGAACCGTGAGCCCCACCAGCAAGCAGTGAGCTTGGCAGAGTTCTTCAAGGCACTGAATGAGGTATTGGAGTGTGCTGCTGGTGCTTGGTGCTTCCAGTGCCCTGGAAGAGCCAGAAGAGTTAAAAACCCAGAAACAGAAAGAAACAAAGATCTGTTTATGGGGTCTGTTTTAGGTGAACATGAGTTCTTTCAAAGGGCAAAGTTCTTATATTTGTTGGCTTCCTTTCCTTGTTATCTGCAGCTGCACATCTTATCTGGTAGGTGCTTCTCATCTTGTATGACTTTATTTTTAGCTGTGGTCACCAGACTGTTTTATAGCCTATTTGCGTGTTGTCATCTCGTCTTGCTGTTCTTTCACAACATTTAGGAGGATTTCTGTCTCATTTATTGCGAGGAAGAGTTCTTGAGGTGCACTGAGGTCTCAGTGCAAGATTCAACCCTCTTTAGGACAGCCCTGAAAAATAAAACAGCTGCACCACTCCCATGGCAACACCAAACCCCTTTGACTGAGACATCGTCCTGCATTGCCATGATTACAAATTATGGTCTGCTTCAGAGAATGGGGCTGGGGTGGAGACATGGCTTGAGGGAGCTCATAGAGCATTTGGCCTGATATTGCTCCTGGTTTTGTTGCACAAAGATGGCACAGCTTGAACCTTCTTAGGAAACAGGATTTACAGTAAGATGCTCAGGGAACTTAATATGTTTAATTTGTCAGAGGAGAGGATTGCAACTTCTCTGTTAGAAAAGATGGATAGGAGCTACTGATTTAGTCCAGGCAACCAAAGGCTTGATGAGGTGCAGAGGAGAAGATCAGAGCTGGGCAAATGCATGGAAGTTGAGCTATCACAGAACAACAGAATGGCTTGTGTTGGAAGGGACCTCAAAGATCTTGAAGCTCCAACCCCCCACCACATGCAGGGCCACCAACCTCCACATTTCATAGCAGCCCAGGCTGCCCAGGGCCCCATCCAACCTGGCCTTGAACACCTCCAGGGATGGACGGGGCATCCACAGCCTCTCTGGGCAGCTGTTCCAGCACCTCACCACTCTCTCTGTCAAGAACTTCCCCCTCACATCCAACCTCAATCTTCCCTCCCTCAACTTCAAACCATTTCCCCTCGTCCTGCTGTTATCTATGCTTTCCAAGAGTTGACTCCCCTCCTGTCTGTAGGCTCCCTTTAGGCACTGCAGGCTGCAATGAGGTCACCCCGCAGCCTTCTCTTCCCCAGGCTGAAGAAGCCCAGCTCCCTCAGCCTGCCTTTGTAGAGAGGTGCTCCAGCCCTCTGACTGGGCTTTGTAAGGTAGTGAGCTGCTGGAGCACCAGGCTTTGTGGTGGACGTTGCATCATCCCGGGGAAACCTGGAACATCACAATGACTTCTGAAAGTTCTCAGCTCCAGTTCAACCACAGCTGCTGACCTTGAAGTAGGCACTAATTAGCAGACGACTCCTCGTCTGTGTTTTTCAAGGTGCCGGACTATGGGATTGCTGGGATCTCTGTAGGAATAACAGATTCATGCCTCGTGTTTTCCTTTTTGTGGCAAAGACCAAATTAAAAAAAAAAAACAAAACAAAAAAAAGGAAGAGTTTAAAGGGAAAATAAGTTGAGCACAGCTCGGGGAGCCAAGGACTTTGGTGTTCTGATTTCAGTGCGATAATGCTCGTTGTGTGGCCGGGGCAGGTTATGAATCCTTGCCTGGCCGTACCATTTTGTCCCATCCAGATAACTTCACTCATCTAATGGGCTGACCTGGTTTTAACATGCTGTTAACGCAAGCACGTAGTAATTAGAAGCTTTTAATGGCTATTTTGTTTATGACAAAGGAGAATATTTGTATTTAGAAGAGATGCCCAGTTTCCAGACCTACCTAGCTTAACTCCTGGGAGATGTTTTGACTCTTCAAAAGAGGATTTTTCTTGACTTGAGGCCACCGCTGTGGTACTCGATCCCGCCAAGTTCAATGTTCTGCTGGATAGAATAAAATGTGTTTATGGATTTTGATGAAACTTGGAAATTCTTGGGTTGTTGAACTCGCTGTGTTACGGGAAAATGAATCAGGTTCTGACTCATGGAGGAGAACTGACCTTGGGGCAGAGGGGAGCAGTTTGGGTTACTGGGAAAGTGTTTCTTTCCCTGGGACATACAGTTCTTCCTTCCGAGATGTTATCATTGTTTGGTATCCAGTGGTGTAAGAAAGGTAAAGAGCTGATCTCTGTGCCCTTCTCCTCATTACTACATACATACAATTTGTTTTACTCCCTGAACCAGCCTCTAGGTCTTGGCTGCTGGTTGAGTCCGCAACGAAGATTGAGCTTTAAGGACGTCGGTTTCAATTCTCGTTTGAAAGAAACTTTTCCTACAGGTTGCATTTTATATTTAAGCGTTCAGGAAATCTGAAAGGTCAACAAAATAAACCCAGGCAGTGCCCAGTGGGTGCTGGCCCTCTCCAGATACGTTTGCTTCAAGGTAGAGAAACAAGCTAAGGTGTAATGCTGTTAACTCCCATGAGCTCTCAGAACGTGGCAATTTCTGCAGTGCTAATTGAATGTTCTAAACGCAGCTCTTAAGGAGAAACCCCTTCCTTGTTCCTTCTCTATTTTTGGTGTCTTGTTCACCTCTGTAATCTGTAGGGATGTGCTCAGGGATCCCCGCATCCCCATTCTGTCCCTTCCTGTCGGGTCGTGCTGTGCTCTCCTCGTGGTGACTTTGCAGAGCACAAGGCTACACATTCCTCAGCTCTTGCTGTTCTTTTGGGATATTTCACCTTTCTGTACTCTCCCAGCTCTTAGATCTTTCCTGAGTGTGTCCTCCTGTTTAATCCTTGGCAGTTTGTCACCTGGGGATGCTGTTTCCCACTCAAGTCCGTAGCCTTGAGTTGTGTGAATGCTTTGATTTGGTGCCCCTGGATTGTTTCGGTGCCTCTTCTACTCTTCAGGGCTTTTGGTTTCCTGTCTGCTCGCTCCGTCTTTTGTGCTTTGTTGTTGTTTCCTCTCTTTTAATGTTTGTTCCCTTCATTTCCTAAGGATTGCAGATACAATCAGTGGAAAATAATTGCCAGGATATTCTTCAGTCTTCTGCTCTCTCCAAATATTAAGGTACTTTGTACTTGATATGTCTGTCCTTTGATAATAACATGCAACCTAATTTCTTGCCTTCCTCGGGCTCTCTTTGAAATACTGACTTGGATTCTGTGGCACTAACCTACAAATAGGAATCCATAGGCTCAGCACTTACAGCCTGCTAACCAGTGCTGCAATAGAAGAAATCAATCAAGTTTCCCCCATGGAAAAACTCCAGACTTTCCAACCTGATCATCTTCTGTAGTATGGTCCGACCAATTCTTCATTGGCCTTCTTGGATTCAGGCATTACAACCAAACTTGGTCTATTAGGAGAAGTTATGGCAGCACTTCCAGCTTATACTCTGAATTTTGCTCTCAGCTGAGATAGAAATGGTTCAGTTGTTCTGCATGCCCTTGGTTGTGATTGCTTAACACTGCACAACTGAGATACCAGTGAGAAAATTTTCTTCCAGTTGTGCATTTTACAAGGGAGAAAAATACCAAACCTACCTCTTTCTTGTGCTTGAGGAGCAATTCCCTGAAATATTTTACTCTTCATATACTTGAAAAAAGAAACTGCAGATAATACAACATGTAGATGGGCTTGGGGTTGGGAGGTGCACTTAACCACGTCCTAGCCAACGGGTAGTTTGTACACTGGCACTGGAACAAGTTGCCCAAAGAAATTTTGGAGGCTCCATTCCCATTCAAGGCCAGGCTGGATGGGGCAGCCTGATCTAGTGGCTGGCATCCCTGCCCGTGGCAGGGGGGTTGGAGCACAGTGATCTTTAGGTCCCTTCCAACCTAAGCCATTCTATGACGCTGAATTCCAACTGACCGTTGATTTCTTCATTGTCTCTTGCTTCCCTTATCACTTAACTGTGCATCCTAACACCAGATTCTTGTCTGTTGGCCTCAGTTTTTTCTGCTTGTTCCATTTGTCATCTTCCTATGTTTATAGCTTCCCTGACTTCCGTCCGACCAGGTTGCCTTTTAACTTGCACGGCTGTCTTTTTCCACTGTGGCTTTTTGAGCATCCACTTAAAATGTTCTTGAACAATTTTCAATTAGTCTTCATGTTGTTCTGATTACAATCTTTTTTCCCAACTGATTCGGCTCATAATTACTTTCAGACTGGTGAAACCAGTCCTTTTAAAAAGTGTACGTGTGTCTATGTGTACACATGTGTACGTGTGTTCAGTTGGTGGGGCTCATGTATTTTATTCCTAATTTTGATGTCTTTTTGGTTGCATATGAATATGAAACACAGAGAGATTGTGGATGCTCTGTTCGTCCCTGGAGGTGTTCAAGGCCAGGTTGGATGGGGCCCTGGGCAGCCTGGGCTGCTATGAAATGTGGAGGTTGGTGGCCCTGCATGTGGCAGGGGGTTGGAGCTTCGTGATCTTTGAGGTCCCTTCCAACCCTGGCCATTCTATGATGGTATGATGCTGTGCTGGGTAGAATCTGTCATGATGGGAAGAGTGGTACAGAGGACCAAGTCCAAGAATAACGCATGGCAGGAGGGCAAGTGGGGCTCCCAAGAGTCTCTTCCAGCAGCACAGCCTGGAGGAGACATCCCGTACCGAGTGGCTTTCCAGAACCTTCATGGTGGATAACTCTTGGTTTGGATGAAGCCCTCAGTATGGGACGTGCTGAGAAGCTCTGATGGGAGGGATGTCCCACGTTACCCCTCCAATGACCTTCTTGAGTTGGATTGGAACGATCAGCGCCGCAAATGTAAATGATCAGCAGCCGGGCTCCAGCTGCAGCTGGTTAATTACCCGTTCACACAATGTGTTGTGAGGGGTCATCTGTTTCCAGTTTCATCGTAAACAGAAGTAAATGTTGAGAACATATTTTTCTACATCCAGTTTCACTTGTTGTGGATGCTTGAAATAGTTTGCAACCCACATCTTTTGGGTTTCGAGAAGGGCTTTTGGCCAGAGAGCCCCGCGACCATTGGAGATTTTTTGTTGAGAAGTGCCCTGGAGGTTGCATTGTAGGGACTTTCCTTATGCAAAACATAAAAGTGCTGGGGGTTTTTTTGTTGCTGTTGTTTTGTTTTTTTTTCAAATGGTAACCATCTTTTTCATTAAAATCAGTTGGAGTCTCAATAAACAATTGACTCCGAAAATTTTCCAAATCTTTGCTGCGGCGCTGTTTCTATTTTTAATTATTTTTTAAGAACGGGTTTGTCTGAAAATCACGGCTCAGCTCTCAATTTAAAGAAGCGATCTGGTAAATGGGAAGAAAGGCACGAGCATATAGCTCTTAATTACGACATAATTAGAACCTACTGGAGATTTCCATGTTAGAATGCTTCTGGAGGGCCGAGGGAGGAATCCTTATCACAGGGGCTGCTTTTCGTCGCCAGCTCTCCTCAAAGCCCTATCAAGCGTGTTTGTACATTTGTTTTGTATAAATTGAGAGCTGTGTACGTTGCAGAGATGCCGAAAACTCTGTTAATAGCTGTGAGGCACCGAGATGGCTTGGGAATGGCTTCAAGTTGTGCCAGGGGAGATTTAGGCTGGACGTTAGGATATACTACTTTTCTGAAAGAGTGGTCAGGCAATGGAATGGGCTGCCCAGGGAGGTGGTGGAGTCACCTGGAGGTGTTCAAGGAGTGTTTGGATTTTGTGTTGAGGGACGTGGTTTAGTGAGAGCTATTAGTGATAGGTGAATGGTTGGACTGGATGATCTTTTAGGTCTTTTCCAACCTTGGTGATTCTGAGATGCCTGGATGCTGGACATCAAGGCCCAGTGTCAACCTTGCAACAGCTGTGGTATTGCCATTTTGGTCCTTTTTCAGTGCCTTGCTACTCGGTGCGAGATTTATTTCCAGTTATGATAGGACGAAAAAGAATGGCCTCACATTCCACCAAGTGGGGTTAGGTTGGATATTGGGAAGCATTTGTTATCAGAATGAGTGGTGAGGCCCTGGAATGGGTCACTAGGAGATGTTCCAGAACCATGGAGATGTGGCACTGAGGGACGTGTTCAGTGGGCATGGTGGGATGGGTTGGGGTTGAACACGGGGGTCTGAGAGGTCTTGTCCAACCTCAGTGGGTCTGCGTGGAGTAGTGACTTCTGATGGTAAGATTGAAGGCTGTGCTGCAGCATGCAGTGAGGTTCACCTTGTGATGGTGTTAGCAGCCCTGATCCACGGCCCTGCACTGACCTTGGGGCTGAGTGTTGGTCTGCAGGGTTTACTGCTGCAGCAGGGCCAACGTTTGGGGTCTCTCGGAGCTGCTCGTACCTCTTAGCAGTTTTTTTCTCTCAGAACACAAAAGTTCTTTTGCTGCTTGACTTAATGAGAGCGAGGATCCCTAAAACCTTTGTGGTAGCTCTGAAGTTGACTGTTCCTCTTTCCTTTGGAGGCAGATGCTGCTGTGTTCAACTGCAGCCAGAGTGCCCTTCAGTAGGGCGTTTGCAGTTGGAAGATGTTTTGGTCAAGCTAAGGAGGTCTGCTTACTTTGGATAAAGAAACTTACCGTATGTTGCTTTTCCAACCTATTGCATTGCTGTAACGTTGGTCCCTTCCAGATGACAATAACATAAATATACCCTAACAGATCCTTACTTTTCTTACTCCTAGGAACAGGCCATCCTGAATAACCAGGTTGTGTTTGGTGCTCAGAAAGGCTGAACTTTGGGCAGATATCAGCAGTAGCTCATCGTTCCCCCCTGTGTCTGTCATCATTCTTCTTCCAGCCTGTTTCTGCTGGTCTCCCAGGACTCCTGAGCACTCAGCTGTGGCTCTCAGCAGACGCAACGTGTGCAGATTAGGATGTGAAATTTCTGTTTGGTTTCAACGTGTTTTCATGTTTCTTGAGAGATGTGGATGACAAAGCTTTTGCTCGGAGCCGTCAGCTGGATGCAGTGTGTCACATATAGATCTCTGCTCAAGAATAAATGCCTGTCATTATTAATGATATCTGTTACCCTCAAAGTGGGTGATGGTCCACTGTGATCAGTTTTAGCTTTCTGGTGAGGACCAAGCTCTCTTTGTGGTAGGAAAGTTTTGGGGATCTTCCCCATTAAGCAGTGTTTAACTTCCCATACCTCCTACTGCCCATCCTGGCTGGCGGCCGGAGGTCTGTAGGAATTCCTGTGGTCTTCCTGGAGTCTTCTTACCTCTTGGGTGAAGTACAGGATCTAAACTACTGAAGTATCACTGGCACCCATTGCTTTAGCCAGGCTAAGCTGCCTCTGGCAATAGATGCATGAAAGGGGTTTTGCATTTGCGCTCTGTGCTGGGAGGACAATTGCTTTCCTTTGCAGCTCCTGCTGAGCAGTGTTATCTTCCTCCTGGCCCTGTAAGTCGTGGGCACTGCAGATTTCCAGCAGACCTCCCACAGGCTGGCTGCTGTGCCTCAGCCACCAAAATGCCTTTCTTGGTGGCTCGTTCAGAAGATGAATGGCGTTCTGCAGCTTGTGGACAAGTTTGGTGAGTTCCCAGGCTCTGCCTTAACTTCTTTCCCTTTTCAGCCTATGTTCCCTTTTTTGTTTTTCCTCTGAAGCCTTTACTCTGGGCAGGCCTGACAACATTAGGAATTGAATCTCTGCTGAAAACCTTACGGAAGAACAGAGATCTGTTTTGCTTAAAGGCCCTGGGAGGAACCTGAGTTGGCTCCTCTGATGAGATTGGGATCTCTTTCACCACATCTTCATTTCTCATTGCGGAGTTCTTAATCATGTCTTGCTGAGGAGACTAAGCAGTCTTCTAAGACCATCCTGATGCTCTGTATCCATTTCACATTCTTGTTGTTGACTTCTGTAGAGGATAAGCATCCATCAACAGAACTAGAGCTTGTCATTGTTTCGTGAGGAAGGGCAGTAGCATTGTTAAAGCCCAATAGGAACCCTTTGGTACTGAAAGCCTTCAGGGATGAATGCAAATTTACACTCCCTTCTAAGGCAGACATAGCCCAGAAGTCCCTTTTTAAATCAGAAGATGCAAAGATTGTTTTATCTTTGGTAACTTTTTCCAGAAGACCTGCAGAGCTGGTACATGAATCACAGCTTGTCTGGGTC